GATCTGTCAAGTGCAGGGTCTATAAAATATCTCAAGTTCTATCTCAGGAGTAGTTTAGGGAGGGTCAGAATCCTTTAGCCTCCAGCTGCATGACTCCTAAACCATAATATCTAATCTTGTGGCTAATTTGTTAGTTCTACAAAGGCAGTCTGGTCCACAGGCAAGACGAAGGCCTGCCCTGGAAAACTAAGTTCCTCCTAAAGTCAGTTCAGCTGCCCAGAATGAACAAGGACAGCCCGGAGGTTAGAAGCAACATGGAATTGGCTAGGTTGGATCTCCTTCACTGTCTCAGTTACAATCCTGCCGTGGTGGTTTCATTGGTGATCAATGGCTGGATTCATTTGTTCACTATGTGCTACAAAATGATTATATTCTCAAACTAACATTTACCATTTCCTTATACATTGTTACAATTCATATAGAAAATCTCAGATGAATGCTTACTTTGTTCTTCATTCAGTATTCCAAGTTGATTCACCAGTATCTTTTTGTTGGTATCATTATAAACACATAGATTCACAATTTTGAAATCATCTTTTGGTCATGTTAGTGTTTGACATATGCATTTCAAGGAAGATTTAAATTAACATCTCTACCTCTTTGGAGTGATTTATCCAGGGAGAAAGTCTTCAAGTTGTCTTCTGACTCTCATGGACATTATACTTTTAGTATTAGATAGCTTCCTTCTTAAGTAGTATGTTTTTCCAGCCTCATGTTACACTTTCCTGTATTACATCTGGAATCAACCATTTCTCCAAAAAGTCCTCTTTGCATTGATTGGAAAATATTAAATCAAGATAAGAATCTGAGCACTAGTTATAATAATTGTCATGAAGTCAATAATCTCTTCTATTTACTTTCACTGGAAAGGACAAGCAAACATATTTTTTTAACATATAATATTTTTTGGACAATAGCTTGTTGAAAAAATCTTTAGAAGAGCATACTAATGAAACAACATTATTTGTCTGGGGTAATATCCAAGGTTCGTTGCCTCATATCAAGGAAATCAAGGATGTGAACACACAAGGGGTGAGGTTAAGAGCAGAGGTTTTATAGGTGAAAGAGAAAAGCTCCCTCTCCTGCAGAGAGAGGGGCTTCTAAGCGGGTCTTCTGGCGCCATGGTGAAATGCACAGGATTTTATAGATGAGCCTGAGGAGGTAGTGTCTGATTTACATAGAGGACGAGAGATTGGTCAGACCAGCTATGTCATTTGCATAGCCCACAAAGAAGATGGCTGCCCCACCCTAATCTTTTATTATGCAGATGAGTTCTCTACCTGGCCAGTGCCATGTTGCCTACTTCTTTACTGTACATGTGGTTGACAAACAAAAGGGAAGATGGGGTGGCCATGTTGAATATGCCTGACCCCCAGATAGCCTTTTCCTATTGGCACAACTGCTGGCATTCACCCATGCAAGCATCTAGCCTGCTTTTCTATGTCTACAGCTTGATTTTTCAGGCTGCTCTTTGTGAGAAAAGAAATGACTTGGGGGCTACTTTTTATTAAAAGGGAAACTTTGCCAAGGACTCTCTTACTTTCACTACCTAAATAATTTCTTTCTATGTCTTGTATCACTAAAACATGTTAATATTTTTCAACTTTAGGACTACACGACTTTTACATAATCCTTTCTATCTTTGATCCATTTGTGTCTTCTTTCTCTCATATTGAGTACCCTGGCTATCACATTAATTTTCATTTGTTTCTGTTCCTCATATTGCACATACAACAGTATTAGAATAATAATGATGCCATTGTCACCCACAATGTCATTCCTGAGAACAGTTTCAGATTTATTTTTAGCTCTTCTCTTTGTGCCCTTAGATTAAACCCCACGTGGAGGTACAGACCAATTGATATACTGAAAACCAGCTGGAATAATTCTGTTCAGGTGGTTACTTCACCAACTTAATACACAGTTTGTTATATTTAATTCACTTGAGTTTTATTTTTCAGAGTTTTTTTAAATTAATGCATTTGTAATTATTAAATACTAATATTTGCCCAAAGTTTAATAATCAAACCTAATTACATTTCAAAAAGTCTATATTTAAACATTGATTCTTCCAACCTCTTTACTTCCTTCTCTATAGGCAGTTTTAAAAAATATTATGGCTTATTGCTCATTTGTTCTTTTTTTTTTCTTTTGAGATGGAGTCTTGCTGTATTACCTAGGCTGGAGTGCAGTGGCATGATCTTGGCTCACTGCAACATCTGCCTCATGGGTTCAAGTGATTCTCCTGCCTCAGCCTCCCAAGTAGCTAGGATTACAGGTGCATACCACCCCACTCACCTAATTTTTGTATTTTTAGTAGAGACTGGGTTTCACCACGTTGGCCAGGCTGATCTTGAACTCCTGACTTCAGGTGATCTATCTGCCTTGGCCTCCCCTACTGCTGGGGTTACAGTCGTGAGCCACTACATATGACCTCATTTGTTACCTTCAGTCATAAATAATTTACACATTAACATTCTCCCTTCTTAGTAAAACATACAAATATTTTCCCTATTTTATTTAATCAATATATGCCCTGAGGACCATGCAACAACAGTGTATATCTCTCATCCCTTTTATAGCTGCAGTGTACAGCTATACTATAGTTTATTCAAATTCTTAAAGACATTTATCCAATTCTTAAAGACATTGGAAATGAAAAATGCAGCCCTACTGTTGCAGACTGTCTGGTTGGTAAGAGAGATGGGGATTTCAGGAATCTCAGGTCTTAAAAGATATATATTGAGCCACCACGCCTGGCCTAAAAGGGCTTCTTTTGGTGGGTATTTTAATGTTGTCTCTAATGGAAGTCTGGCTGCATTATCATCCAGGGCCTTGATGATAGTTATCTTTTAGATTTCTTGTATAATACTGTGAATGAACTCTAGTTACATGAGTTATATATATATATTTGTGTCTCTCTCCTCAAAAAGTGCCTGACAAATGAATGCTAATCTCTCTATTATAGACGAGCAAAGTTTATAACAATGAGAATCTAACAGTGTGATTATGTGTTGCAAATGTAGGATCACCTATCTGCATGTAAAGAACACAATGGTTGAGTTATTATTCTTTAGAATCTAAGCACTTATTCCTGGTAATCATATTGATTACTTTCTAAAGAGTCTAAAATAATTCTAAATCAATTACCATAAAGAATACAAATATTTCAGACTGGTCTTCAAGCAATTCTATAATTTGTTTCTGGCTAAGTACATGTACATATTCTGTTTCTCAGTAACAATATAGTATGCACCAATATCAGTATTCCAATGACTCTCTCACCTCTCTCTTTCAAAAATTCCAAAATTCTGTAATTATTTTTCATGTCAATCATGTTACTGTATAATGAATTTCTCAATATTTTATAAACATACAATCATCTTTATCAGGTTTCCATAGCTAACCCAAGTAAAACTTTCTCCTCCTCATCTGTTACTGAATTTAGTTTATGCATCTTTTCAAACATTGATGATAATGTCATTTAGTTTTAATTTTTATAAATGCATCTGTTAGTTCTGTCAGCTATTATTGACTTGAAATCCTAAAGAAATACAATTTTTTAAAATTTAAATCTGAACATAATTGTAGATGTACTATATGTAAAGATAACAATAGAAATAGTTGTTACTAATGTATTGATAGCTCATTATGTTACATGCTTTACAGATTGATTTCCATTCTTATAGTAACTTAACTTAAGATGTTATGACTGGTTTACACATGAGAAAATATATGCTCAGAGGGCATAGAGACCACAGGCTTTCTATCATTTTTCTTGTTTAACATGAAAATGTTATTTCTAATAGGAAGTAATAAAATTAAGAAACCATTTCTATCTTCTGTTTAACATTTTGAATTCATTTCAGTTTTCTTTGACAGTTTTTCCTCAGCAAACCTTGTTGTTAGTCTCCCAGTTGAATATATTGCACAAAAATCTTTAAAAAATTTGTATCACTGATTAAAATTATAATTTATTTTCTATTACTTAAAAATGTGGTCAATAAAATTTACAGTATTTTAGTATCATTACTTCTTATTTCAGCTTTTGAAATCATGGGCACACACACACACTCATCTTGCTTGCATACTTTAGACATTTATTAATATGTTAAGTACAAGGAAGCAAAATTTTAACAGATAAAAATCATAATTTTAGATATACTAAAAAACTTTTGCTTCGTTGTGAAGCTTTTATTTTGTATAAAACTAAACCTTACATAATTTTGTTCAGGTACAAAATAGTTTGAATACATATCCTGTTTTAAACTAGTCTAAAATTTAAGAAGATTTACATATTACTTTTAGGTAATGATAGAAAGAAGCTTATTTTCCACTCACAGAAACTTAACATATCTTAGTTATATATTATATATAGTTATATAAATAACTATATTTCTATGTTGGATGAAATCTGTATATGTATTTGTGTATGTGTCTATTCATCATCTGTCATTCTATAGAGAGAATATTATGGGATTCACAAATATGGAGATCCACTTAGCACTTATAACAAAAAAGTATATATTGATAATGGTCTAGGCTTCTTTTCTTTATTAATAGATTAATTTCACAAACATACCAAATTAAAATGAGTAACGAAAGTTTTTTTGCTTTTCAAATGAATTAACTTACATTTTAAAAAAATTATATCATATCTTTTACATATTTCCTAGAACACCAGTAGCATTGTGAAGGGAATTTCTATAAGAATAAATTAAAATTATAAAACTGTATGTTCTGTGTATAACAAGTAGAATATCAGATTGATATTTATAAAGCCATTCCAATGTATCTAGGTATAATTTTATTTCTTGAAGAAAACTCAAGAATAATTTTAGTTTTCAAAATATTTTTGAATCTTGTAATTTTAAAGAAGTGTTCAAAGGAGGGGATGTCAGGAAGACACAATAAAATTATTTTCAGTCGAATGAGAAATATATTAAATAAATATGCTTGCAAACTTTTAGGAAAAAGAAAATGATGCAGAAGATTGCAAAGAGGCCATTTTGATTGGAAGAAGCTACTGAAAACTCGTATTATCCTTTCCTGTGCCTCTAATTCGTCACGTCATACCATTTCATGTGCTTGTGAAAAATACTGTCTTCCTTGCCATGTTAATGAAAGCTTGCTTAACTTGCTGATTTCTTAGACTGTAAATAAAGGGGTTCAGCATGGGGGCTACTGAGGTGTTTAGTATTGCCACTCCCTTGCTCAAGGACACTCTATCTTTTGCTGAGGGTTTAATGTACATAAAAATGCAGCTGCCATAAGAGATGGAGATGACAATCATGTGGGAAGAACATGTGGAAAAGGCCTTTGTCCTTTGACTAGTAGAAGGAATTCTCAAAATTGTTCTGATAATGTATATGTAGGACAGAAATATTAATGCCAAAGTCAACATTAGAGTAAACACAGCACAAGAAAATCCCATCACCTCTAGGAATTTTGTGTCTGAACAAGCAAGTTGCAGCAGGGGAAAATAATCACAGGTAAAATGGTCCATAATATTAGACCTACAGTAATCAAGCTGTAAGAGCAACATGAGTGCTGGGAATATGATTAAGAATGAAACCAGCCAAGAAGTAAAAACAAGCAGTGTGCAGACTCTTCGATTCATGATATTCAAGTAATGCAGAGGCTTGCAGATGGCCACATAGCGGTCATAGGACATGGCAGCCAGAAGGTAAAACTCTGTGACTCCCAAGAGAATGAAAAAAAATAACTGAACTATGCAATCATTAAAGGAAATGGTTTTATCTCCTGAAATAATGTTACCCAGAAACTTGGGTATACTGACAGTTGTGAATGAAATTTCTAATATGGAGAAATTTCTGAGGAAGAAATACATGGGGGTCTGCAGGTGGGAATCCAGCAGGGTGAGGGTGATAATGGTCAGGTTCCCAGTGATGCTGAGCATGTAGGTGACGAGCAGGAAGACAAAGATCACAACCTGAAACTTTGGGTCATCTGTCAATCCCAGAAGAATAAACTCTGTTATTTCTGTATGGTTTCTCATTCTTCAGTTGCTTACTTTTTCCCCCTGCCAGACCTATAAGAGAAAGCACAAATAACACACTTGAAGAGTTATGGATTAACAAATATCCAAATACAGAGCTGGAGTTTGGTTGACATAGTATGCCATTTCTACTTCAAGGGGAAATTTAACACCACCCGATAATAACAGTGGTCCTTTAATTTCCACTCTTTTACAGGTGAAAACTCTTCACATAAGACAGGTTAAAAATAAAAGTTTGGTATCACGGTTGGAAATGGTAGGGGAGGAATTTGAAACCAGACTTTGCTGACTCCACTTAACACCTGTTATCTTTCTGAGACATGCCTATAAGTTTCCTCTGTAATCAGAACCACCTTTGTATCCTTGTACCAATCCCTATACAAGTTTCCAAGTTATGTAAAAGTTTGATTACTCTGATAATTCTCAATATGGAGAAGATACTTGAGGTTTTTTTTTTGTTGTTGTTTTGTTTTGTTTGTTGTTGTTGTTTTTGAGGTAGAGTCTCACTCTGTCACCCAGGCTGGAGTGCACTGGTGCGGTCTTGGCTCATTGAAACCTTTGCCTCCTGGGTTCAAGTGATTCTCCTGCCTCAGCCTCCTAAGTAGCTGGGATTACAGGCATGTGCCACCACGCCCTGCTAATTTTTGTATTTTTAGTAGAAACGGGGTTTTGCCATGTTGGCCAGGCTGGTCTCGAACTCCTGACCTCAGGTGATCTGCCTGCCTCGGCCTCCCAAAGTGCTGGGATTACAGGCATGAGCCACTGCGCCTGGCCTAGTTTTTTTTTTAAAGTGAGTTCTTTGAGTTCTTTGTCCTTAGCCATTGTGAAAGTTGATTGTATGGATTGGGTTGGGTCATTTTTGTCATACCCAACCACCACAGGTTCAAGATGCCAGGGGGTAAGAAGCACAGAGGGAACGTGGCATTGCTCTAAGAATGTAATTCTGTGTGAGCCTGACTGCTGAAATTGCCTGCTGTAACCTGAAATCAGTGTTATCTAATAGCTGCTGAAATTACCTGCTGTGATCCTATGGGTAGTTTTACTCATTGCCTTAACTTACCAATCAAAACTTGGCAGCTCCCCTAAACCTTACCAGTGTCAATGAACTTTCTTGAAGAGTAATAAGTAACGTTTCTTTTTTATACAGCTTCTAACCTTCTGTTCGTTCTTTGGACGTACTGAAAAACCACCTGGTCTGTGTATATGCCTTGAGTTGAAGTTTTTGGTTACCACCTAAGATGTTTTAAATTTTAGAGATTTGTCTCCATATTTTATTTAACCTTGATGCCATTGATCAACTTTCGTGAATATTCAGATTTTCCAACTCCCATGTCCACTTTATTGAAAGCTGGAAATACTTAAGCCATTGCCATGAACAACTTCAGATGTCTGGAATACAGGAGAGGAAGAAGTATAGAATAATGTAAGCTGGAAGAGCCCAAAACTGAAGTTTATTGCATGTGAATATCTTACAATATTTCATGATATTTCAGCCTACCTATGTGTCATTTTATGACTTTTATTCCTATAGAAGCCATTTTGCTTCCTAGTTGAAATAAATAAGTAAATAATATAATATTAATTTGAGAAGGATGCCCTCAGTTAAAAAGATGATACATAAGTATTCTCCAAGATTTGTTTAATTATTTATTCATTCTTTGAAATAGCAATTTTTAATTCTTTCTTTTTGAAAATAAAGTACAAATGATATTGTCATAAACATTTCCATAGAAAAGAGTGAGGTTATCTAGTTATGAATCCAACCTGTTTACTATATCTGAAAATCACTTAACACTTCTCTGTCTCAGTAGCCTCACCTGTAGTTTCTTCCACTGTATACAAGTGCATCTCATAGAGCTATTGTGAGCATTAAGTTAATATGTATATTAACTTAATAACTTTTATATAACTTAATATGTATTAACTTACTTATGATCTTTCTAAATGCTTTATAAATATGTATATTTATATAATTTATATTTACATAAATAAATATATATAATATATTTAGTGAAATTTAGTGAAAGCTAAAGCATTTAGTGAAAGCTGTATGAGGCTTTGTTCTATGGAGAAAGTATTTCCTAACCATTGAGCTGAAAATCTTTGGGAATGGGAAGGTGTTCTGTCCAAAACGTTATGTCTTAAATAAGTAGTAATAATTATATTAGGCACCAAGAGAGTCACATGAGAACAATAACAACAAAGCAATAGGAAAAAAGTCACCAGGTTTCATAGTACCTGTCAGGCATTCTAGGCAAATAAATCTTTGCTCTTCCTTGTCTACATGGCGCTGACCTCTCCCACCATGGTGTATCTGCCTCTTCCATCTCATCACTACCACCACCACCACCACACACACACACACACACACACTCCACTTCTCTTATCTTCAACCAGGATTAGATCACTGTGATGTTCATAGCTTATCAACATTGCTACTCATAGCCAGTTATTTTCTCTGCTCTTCATTAGTAATAACCCTTCTAAAAGTGCTTGAAGCTTGCAGTAAATTATATGTGCATATATATTATACATACATATATGAATGTGCGTATCTGTGTGTGTGTGTGTGTGTGTGTGTATAAGCATTGTGGGCAATACATTGTAATGACATCCCAAATTACCTCTGTCCTTATTTCTACAACACTAGGTTTAATACCCACTGTGTGCATTGCATGAGAATCTTATGCTCATTCTTCCTAACTCATCACACTTACAATAGGCTGAAATCTCCTGTTAACTGCTCCGTTATTCTGTGCATTCTTGAGAGTTAGAACAGGATTTTATCTTCAAAGCTATTTCAGCATAATCCAGTATTTAGTATAGTTATGGTAGGTTTAAAGGAAACACTCATCTAGTTAATTAATTAATTAATTAAAGTTGAGTTTGTTATTGAATCACATGCTGCCATCAGTGCAGTTTGCTATTTTATGCTGATATTCTAGCCTGGATTTTACTTAGGTTTTTATCTTTGTTTTACAAGATGTATTTTCTTACATGTCTTACCTTGTGAGATGTGTTTACATATTTGGATCAAGTTCACCGTATTGACTAAATTTGAAACAAAAGATATGTAAAGGGAATCACATTTCATTGATACATAAGTTTAAAGAAAACTTCAAGAAACGTTATTTTCGAATTACTGTCTTTAAATTTTTTTACAATTCATCCTTTCAATTCACTTCACTCCAGCTCCAGCAACATCACTCTTATTTCATCAGGGTTTATTTTTCATTAAAAGCTTGAGTTTTTCTTAACACTTTGAAGTCACAAAATACATTCATATCAAATATACAAGATTTAGATTCAATCTGAAGATTCAATTTTATTCAACAACTTACTGACATGAGAGACTCAAGTTTTAAAAATATATATATCATATTATTACTGGTCTATTACACTGTATTATTCACCTTATTTCAACTTTTTTGTATATCTGTTTTCCTCTTAAATTCCCTGCTATTTTTTTTTAACACTTTACTCAATAACAATACCATGACTCATTCTTTTGCTTCAAATGAAAGCTGTGAGGGAACATAGGAAAAGCTATGGTGGAAGGTGTAAGTCGTTATTTGAAGGGTTCATGAGAGACTTCACAAAAAAATAGACACTTCTATAGCTGGTCTTCAAAGACAAGGGAAACAGGCTTAAAGAAGCTCTAGTCATATGTGATCCAATAACAAGAACTGGATGTGGTATATCATGCTTTTTTTGTTTTTTTTTTTTGAGACGGAGTCTCGCTCTGTCACCCAGGCTGGCGTGCAGTGGCCGGATCTCAGCTCACTGCAAGCTCCGCCTCCCAGGTTTACGCCATTCTCCTGCCTCAGCCTCCCGAGTAGCTGGGACTGCAGGCGCCCGCCACCTCGCCCGGCTAGTTTTTTGTATTTTTTAGTAGAGACGGGGTTTCACGGGGTTAGCCAGGATGGTCTCGATCTCCTGACCTTGTGATCCGCCCGTCTCGGCCTCCCAAAGTGCTGGGATTACAGGCTTGAGCCACCGCGCCTGGCCTTATATCATGCTTTTATGTAGAAATGTTTATGAAAGTTTCATGAATTATATTCATTTGCCAATATAAAACAAGCTTGATAAAAATTATCAGTATCCATTTCCTTTGAGAGGGTTGAACCTCAATGTTTAACAAGTTGCAATCAATTCCTAGAGAATTAAAAGATCTCAGGACGTATTCATACAGATAATGAGGAATAGCTCCAAGCATTTAATTCATTATCTTGGATTTTTATATCTGAATACAAATCCATATTTTCTCCTGGAAGAATATGGCTTAGTTTATTAAGTTTTCACTTCCTTCCACCATTTCAACAAATTACTTACTTGTTTTCTAAAGATTCCTGCAACAAATCCTTGGAGCCATTTAAAATGAAAATTAAGGGTGATGCTTAATAATTGCTAAATAAAATGACTACAAAGCGTCTTCAGAGCTTTCTAAAAACAACCCTATATCTTGGTCTGCCATCAAGTAAATATTAACGATGACCCTTTAAATAAACTAGGTTAGATATTGGTAATTATTTGATGTGCCTGGTAAGAAAGGGACTATTGGAGAGTAAATCAGTTTGAAGAATCTAGGGATGTGCTTTTAAGAGACTGAGATAAGGGGCTGACTGGTTCCATTTTATTTCTCGCTCTCTCTCTCTCTCTGTGTGTGTACTGTTTAATAAGGTTTTAAATTACACTGAGTTGAGACCTCCCTTAGCAATGCAAATGCTTTGAAAATCTAGTTTTAAAATTTTTCTGTGTTTACTCAGTTATTTCTTCTTTACCTTAATAGAGATCACTGAAAAAATTTTGCAGAGCGTATCTTCAAAACCTATATTACTCGTATCACCCTCGTGTTTTTTTCAACTTTATAAATTTAAAGATTTATTTAGAGCTTAGGTTAATATACTAACCCGGGAGGCGGAGCTTGCAGTGAGCTGAGATCTGGCCACTGCACTCCAGCCTGGGCTACAGAGCAAGACTCCGTCTCAAAAAAAAAAAATATATATATATATACTAATGAAAAAGAAAATTAT